GTTTTTCAGGCTTTTATTATAATTTATCCTCTTTTGGTTCTCAAAATAATAATAATAACAATAATAATTATCCTCTATTAATGTCCATAATCTATGAGGAGTTATTTTTAGTTTAACAATGCAACAAATTTTTTTTAAAAAAAATTTTAAAAAATACTCAAATTTTTGCTTTTAGAAAAACACAATTATGAATTACAATCATTTTAGATATAACCAACATCTTACTAATTGTAAATCTACACCATATAACTTTATTTTAAGATTAAATTTAAAATAAATTTTTATGATTCATACTGTATCTTTTTTTGATTCATCCAACGCCATTGAAGATAGCCACGTAAACACGTTATGTAAGTGATGTTTTATAACACTTTGCAATATTTTCTATATCTCAAGATTTTCTATTTTTGACTCTCTCTTGTGAATTTCCGACACCACTCTGACAACTTTCCAACATATCTATGACGAGCTCTCAAAAAACTTTCAAAATATAGATCTCGATCTTTTAGTTTGATACAGATTTTGATTTTTCAAACCACATTTATAGAAAATTTGATAATTTTCCTTAGATCATACTAGCTATTTTTTGGTGGTTTTATATTTTATTGTTTATAATTCTTGTTAAGTTGTTTATTTGACTTTCTAGAGTCTTGTTTTTATTTTTCTTGATATGTATATTGTTTACTTTTATTTTAATATAACTAATTTATAATATTCTCAAAAAAATCTCAAGATTATTTATTCAAATAGGTTTGTCAAAGAAATTAAGGCTCCGTTTGGTTAGAGTTTCAAATTATAGTTCTACCAATTGATTTGAGTATATTGTTTGTTTTGAGATTTCAAATCATAATTGTACACCCATTTCTCAAAACTCAATTCAAAACATAATCATTAATTTTCAAAACTCATAACCAAACACATAGTTCAAAACTCTTTTCAAAACTTAATTCAAATCAATATTTTAATTTTTTAAATATTTAACTATTTTAAAAATATTTTAATTTTGTTAAGATTTTAAATATTTTAATATTTAAATATGTTACGATTTTTTTAATTTTTTTAATATCTATTTTATAAAAATATTTTTAAATATTTTAATTTTTTTGTTATGTATTTGGTTACGATTCGAGTGTAGAGTTGTGAAAGTAGGATGGAGTTTCGAGTTATGTATTTGGTTATGAGTTTTAAAAATAATTTTTTAATTAAATTTTGTTTTATGTGTTTAGTTACGATTTGAGTGTAGAGTTGTTTTTAAATTTAAAATATTAACATTTTAAATTATTTAAAATTTTTGAATATTTAAATTATTTAAATTTTTACAATTTAAATTTTTTAAATATTTATTTTAATTTTTTACTTATTAAAATTTTTAAATTATTTAAATATTTATGATTTAAAATTTTTGAATATTTATTTTGAAAAAAAAAAAATTTCCTTTGTAATATTTTCAATTAAAAAAATTAATTAATGTTATTTTCTGTTAATAATAAATTTTTTTAATTGAATTTTAAAAAGAGTTTAGTTATGAATGTTGAATGTAATTTTCAATAGTGTGAATATGTTTTACTATGAGTTATAACAATTTGAATTAAATTTTCAAAACTCTTAACCAAATAAATTTTCTTACTTCACATGTCAAATCAAACTTTCAAAACTCAATTTTACACTCAATTCAACACTCTCTTCAAAATTCATAACCAAACAAATTTTCTACACTCAAATCATAATTCCACAACTCACAACTCACAAACTCAAAATACAACTCATACTCTCATGTTATATTTACAAAACCCTACCAAACACAATCTAAATTTTTGTTTCTCTTCGTAATAACTCCCCATTTGTTAATGGACTATCTTTTATAGTGTTTCAAAATGAGTAGCTTTCCCCAACAAAAATATTTTTTAATGAGAAATAATCTAAATATAGTGATACTTCTTTTATTAAAAATTTCAGTAGAATGAAGGGAAAATTTAAAAGGCACGAAATCTTCTTCTAAGAGACCCCCTCAAATCAGCTAAGGTAATGTCAACTAGTAAATGCTGATTGAGCATGACAGCAGTAATAACCAGTTTGATCTGTGGATTTTGCAAGAAAAAGAAGGAAATATAATGGGTATACATAGAAATTATATGATATACCCCTTTTTTCATGTTTTTTATAGTACCAGTCATCAGAGGCTTGCCACATTTTCAGTGGGGCACAATGAAAGATGAAAACCATTAATAAATACCATCATTATACAAAACAATGCCCTCAAAACCGAAGGAGGAACACATTAATTCAGTGCCTAAAGATTGTACATAATACCATTAATAAAATAAAATTCAAATCCCAACCTGCTTGAGTTCAACTGCCAATATGATAATGACTGGATCACAATTAATAAATCAACATATTTTTTTGCCCTAGTCTTGCACATGCGATAATTTGGACTCTTACTAAACACTGAACTCAAATACACAGGATTTGTGGGACTAATACCTTCAAAACAAATCATGCCAATGCATTGTAAATTTGTGATAGCTAATACATCGATTCCAAATAATTCATGCACCTGCACGGCTCCTAATCAAACTAAAATAACAACAATAATGAAATAATAATCATGAAGAAGGACTTAGCTGCCTGTCACTGAAGCAGCCATTGCACTTCCTCCCCAAACTCACCCAACATATATATATGTCTGTAAAATAACCCATATAATGAAAAGCACCAAATTTCCCAACAGTAAGCATTTCAACACTGAAACCATAACCATCTAGCAAAAGCTCATCCATCAAATAATAATGCATACAATCCAACACAATATGCCAAATGATTAACAAGTTGCCCCTTTAATTGGGCTACCGGCTTCCAAAATACTCACAAGCAGCATATTTGTAAGAGTGATTGGATGCATGAATTTGAAATGAAAGGGTTCGGACACAAATCATTTAGGAAGAATATTTCAAACAAGGTTGCCTTCACCTAGAGCTTTTACCCAAAATCCCATTCATCTTGTTTAGGGAATAGCAAATAGCCATTACTATTCATGAGTTGTTCAGGGAATAGCAAATAGCCATTACCGAAAGGAGTAATAAGCTACCAGAAGGATGAAACAATAAAATATTTGTCCATGGGCAAAGAACATGAGAAAGAAATAAAAACCTAAATCGTTAGCCCTCTCTATCTTGGGAAATGATTGCTTCTATTAACCCCCTCTTAGGGATCAACAATGTTCTGTACAGAGTAACGATTAACGATGAAATTATATGATACATTTGAAATAATAATATAAGGGCCTATGAAGCACGAACAACTCTCCGGAAGTAACATATGGGTGTTGAACATGTGTAAACAAGGACACGTGTCAAACACGCTACCTAACGTGTCCCTCGTTCTTTCTTTTTTTAATTTTTGCAGCCAAACACACTTTTGAACACGTTGAAGACAAAGAGAAACCCTAACCCAGGAGACACAGGGTGAAACCTTAACCCATTGATGATAGAGAGAGAATAAGAAAGAGAAAGGATGAAAAACCTGTTAAAGCCCTAGATTGAGGTATGTTCTTCCAATCTGTGTGTTCAACTCTCTCCCTCTGTTCGGTGCTCCCTGTTCATCGTCGAACCTGTTCATCTTCTTCGACTCTCTCTCTCCCCTGTTCGATGCTTTCTGTTGATTCTTTCTTTTTTTTCTCTCTATCCGTCTCTCTTGTTTGAGGCTCTCTCCTTTTTTGTTAGACTCTCCCTCTCCTCTTCCTATTACTAACTCTCTCCCTCTTTTATTCTTTATTTCTTCTTCTTTTTAAAACCTTTTTTGTTTTTAGTAACAAATAAAAAAAACCTTTTTTTCTCCTCTTTTACTTTTTTTCTATATTTTTTAATATTCTTATTTGCTAAACACGAACATATAGAATAAATTATTTTTATTTGTAGAAAAAAAATTAAATTGGGAATGATATTTGATATTAAAGTAAATAAATAAAAAATAATATATATTTTTTAATTTTAAATATAATAAATAAATAAAATTATATGTATTGACCGTATCCCTAGCATGTCATGTCTCCCATTTTTAAAACATTTGTGTGTACCTATCCCGTATCCATGTCCGTGCTTCATAGATGAGGGTTTGTTTGATTGGATGGATTATAACATAAGATTGAAATTATTAATCCATAAGACTCAAATTCCATTGTTCGTCTACAATTTTTACTATTATGATTAGATTCCGGTTATTATTCAAACAAGATTCCGATTGGACATTCTATCTAACAAAATTAACAATTTTTTTTAATCTTACAACTAATAATGCAAAAGAAACATATAATGGTGTTTTGAAAAGTTGGTAAAAAACCGACTTTTTGACTTTTTTGTGGATTTTTTGTATAAAAAATTAGAGAGATAACGCGATCCAAAAAAGCTAACAAGCCAAAAAGCTAACTTTTTACCAACTTTTCAAATGTATTTTCATATCCATTGCAAAACAAAAGTGAAAACATATAATTATTTATCCCACTACACCAACTACATAACTACTCCTACACTAATCCCATGAATTATTAATCCCTTCACTATTAATCATATTAATCAAACAGACACTCAAAGTATTTATTTGAAATCCTTTATGCCAAGAATTATAGGTTGTACAAAAATCATAAAATAATTCCTATCTTACCCTATACTTTCTCAATTCATCTATAATAGCTAAAATCTCCTTCGTTTTTATAGAGTCTAATCTTAAATCCGTCCACTTCAAAATCCCTCTACCCAAACAGAACCATATTTCCATTTCCCCATAAAATCATAGCTTCACAAGGAACACATTGATTAAAAAAAAAGTTAACAGCTACAACAATGCATTTGGTTAGAAGATTTAGAAGAAAAAAAAAATATCATTATATTTTACCTAATTTTACACACATTTTTTCTCTCTATTTCCAAATCCCTCAACCACGTAACAGATTCATCTTTATCAAGCCAAACAAAATGAAAGTATCATTAGAGGAACAAACAAAATTATAAGAAAAACAAATCATATAAGAACAACTAGCAACAAGAGCTCAAAATATATGACTTTCAACAGACAAAAACATTAAAGAAACAGAAATGGGGTTTAGATCATCAAACTTAAACACAGAACAATCTAACAAAAATTGTTTCATACTGAAAGTAATTCTAGGTCAAAATTACTCTTCCTCGGTAGCAGCTTCGCCACTCTTCTTGTTGTGCTTCCTCGCATACCTCTGGTTCCTCAGAAACTTCGGATCCATCTACACACACCAAAAAAAAAATAAAAAAAGCTATAAATTCATACGATTCATCTATAAACATATATATGTGAATATATATACAAATCGTACCCCTTTGGTGGAAGTGTGGCGGTGCTTTCGGGGCTTCTTGATCCCGTTCTTGTGAGCCTTGTAAGACTGGTTGTGCGCCGTGTGATTCTTCGACTTCGCCATCTCTGCCGAAACCACAAATTAAATCACAGATATGCGAATTCAAAGACGCCTATACATACATAGATAGAGCAGATACAGATTAGAGGAATGAGAGAGTATGAACCTGTTCGCTGTGCTCTAGGTCGAGTCGGTGTTAGGGTTTTCACGGAGGAAACGATAGGTTTTTTTTTTTTTTGCTGTTTATATGGCTTCTTGAGAAGCCCTAGCCCCTAGTTGGGTCGGTTTGTGAAATGACTAATTTGTCCTTCTGGGCTTGCCTTTGCTTGACTACTACATAGGTTCTGGATGGATGGGCTGGGCTACATCCCAAAAGCTTGACGACTCTACATCTGGGCTGTGAATGTTTTGGGCTTGCACCTTTTTGTCTCGTTTGATTAGAAATAAACAAATTATGAAAAATAAAATAAAAAATATAAATATTATATATTTTCTTTGTTCTGAGTTGGTGCATTCCCCACTTACTCGATGGTAAATCCCTTCTTTTGAGTTTGGTTAAATCTGACCATCAATTGATTATCTGGGGCACGGACCCACAGATGCTATGATCGTCTTTTTTATGATTCATAGAAAAAAAAAAAAAGGTTACTGTTGGCATAAATTTTCTTTCAAGTAAGAAAAAATAACATAGTTTTCGTTAAAGCTCTGGTTGATTAAAAAAATAAATAAATTATGGAAAATGAAAATGGTAAAAAGTAAAGTAAAAGAAATGGAAAATAAAATATCTTTTCTCATATGAATTTGATTCGGACGAAAATTTTGTAAGAAAAATAGGAATTGTAATTCTAAGTAACTACTTTTATAACAAATTTAAATTTTCTTATATTTTTTGCAAAAAAAAAAAAATAACTTTATTATAATTTCTACTACTTTCATATTAATTATATTTATTTTCATTTTCTACTTATTTTCATCCGACCTTAGCCTTTTATGCCAACTAGGACTGCAAACGAACCGAATCGAGCCAAGTTTTGTTGAGCTCGAGCTTGAGCTCGGCTCGTTTACTTATCAAGTTTATTTATTGAGCTCGAGTTCAGCTCAATAAGGAACTGGGTTTGAGCTCGGCTCATCTCAATTCGTTAACATTAATGAAACTTAAGCTCGGCTCGGCTCGATAATTTTTTTAATATTATTTATATTATTTAAATAAAAATATTTAAGTAAAAAATATCATTTATATTATTTAATATATAAATAATATATTTATTATATAACTTAAATAAAGGTAAACGAACTGAGCCGAGCAGAGCCGAGCTGAGGCGAGCCCTTAACGAGCTAAGCTGAGCTTGTTCATAAACAGTTAGATTCATTTGCAGCCCTAATGCCAACTATGGAGAAAATTATTTAGGGGGTGTTTGGTGTGAATTATAGGGGTGATTATAACTTATTTTTGTAGCGATCCCAGTTTTGTCACTTTGCTGTGTATGTCGGGAATCGAGCTGCCCAGTCAGCTCGTGGGGATCTAAGGAGCAGCGCCCCTTTGCGGGTCCTAGGGCAGCGCCCTGGCGGGGTTGAGGGGCAGCGCCCCCGAAGCAAATATGCAAAATGCATTAGAAGTCGTTTGTCCGCTCGAGCGGCCGTTTATGCGCTCGAGCGAAGAATGTTTGGTTTTAGAAGTCTGACATGTCTGCAAAAGAATTGGGAAAATGTATTAGCGGACCATGTTATATCAGTTCGTGAATCTAATATTTCAGATCACTTTTGTATATCTCTCTTTCTCTAAAAACCTTTTCCTCTCCCTTCTCTCCACGTTTCCCTATGGCAAATTGGATCAAAACCTTGATTTTTCAAGATCCATTAGAGTTCTAACATAAGTTCTTCATCAAAGTTGGTTAACTTCTCGAGGGCTTCGTTGTGTACGGTGAAAATCGAGTTTCGACACCGTTGATTTTGGGGGTTTCATCTCATTTCTTCTTCAAAACTTGAGGTAGGGATTTTCTTAGAGTTATATATATATATATATATATTTGCAAGATCTATATGATTTTCGGAATCATCTTTCGATAGTTTTGAAAAGTGATTGTTGATTCAAGAAGTTGAATGATTTTGAAAGTAGGTTTGTCACTTGTTCTTTTAAAATGATCTTATAGGTTTTGATCTTCGTTGATTAAAGAAAAGATGATTTTGGAAAGTTTTCTTTCAAAATATTTGAGTTGTATAGTTTTGGTGAGAAAACCTAGAATTTGTGAAATTTTTTATAAAAATACTAAAAATTCATTAATGATATTGTTATATTTATTTTGTGTGTCAAAATAAATGGATGTTTGGAAAATTTATTATTTATATTTATATAAATGATGAATTTCAGGGAACATGAAAATTGTTATTCATTTTGGAAATTATTGTTCAAAACGTTGAAATAGTCTTGAAATGACTAATTGTTGAGAATACTTAAGAAAATGAAATTGTGTTATTCATTGGATGATGAATTGGAATAAAAGTATTTATATTCATCTTGTGTTATTGGTATAACAATTCATTTGATTACATTAAATTTTGAAAGTTGATTTGAAAACTTGCACTGAGAAAAGAATGTTGAGAAACAAGTTTTCATGAAATGGTTTTGGGGTAAATACGTTTGTAAGTCTTGATAGGCGGTATAGGTGATATTGAATAAGTTGGGCTGAGAGTCTGGGGTGAAAGACCAAAAACCCACGCGGATAGGTGTCAAGTCTTTCGGTTAATACCGGTAAAAATGATAATTTTGTAATACTTGTATAGTCTATTTGCAGATACCGACTTAGGAATTACCAGAGTCGTATTTACCGCCCTTGAAATAAATTGTTAAGTTTTGAACAATTGAAATTGTATAATATCATTGAGCATGATTGTTTTTAAAAGATGAAAATGCGATTTATCTTCAAAAAGGGCATAGCATGACATGTGCATTTCATCTCTTGAGACTTGTATAAAATGTATATACTTTGTTAAGAATTTTCTACTGGGCATTATGCTCACCCTACGAGATTTTTGTGCAGGAAAAGATGTGGTGATCCCACCCAACTAGGGGTATGGAAGTATGTGTGTTGAGAGTACAATGCTCTCATTTTGTTGTGACTCTGTGTGTAAGCCAAGGGTTGTGTTTGTATGGATTTGAATAACCGTTTTGTGTAAACAGGGTCAAGTCTTGGAAACTTGTAAATCCCTGGAGATATTTATTTGTTTATTTACTTGTTGTTGGATTAATGTATTGTTGCATAAAGAACTATTGTATCATGTAATGTAAGTTTGGAGATTTATATTCGATTTTTCTTAAAAGAGCCATGATTGTTGTCTTATCATTTGGGCTGGAAAATTGGGGCGTTACAATTTTAATTTGGAAATTTATGTTAGACTGTTTGGTGCAGCTTCTGCTTACAGCTTTTGAGACAGAAATAGCTTAAATAAACTGAAAAAAATTGATTATTTAGAAGCTGGAGACATGATGCTTCTGCTTATAGCCTTCTGATTATAAACTTTTAACTTATAATAATCAACATCAAACACCCTCTTAGTCGCATTGGAAAAGTCACCATATGTCTTAGCTTAATATTTAACGATTAAAATAATAAATTTTAATATTTTTTATTAAGTTTCGAAAAGATAAATTGACGTAATAAACGGTGGGGTAAATTAAAAATACATTCATTGAGATTTATTTAAAATATAAATTGCTCCATATGGTTTAAAAAATTACAAATATCTCTCAGTCATAATTTTTTATTTAACAGAATTAATTGAAAAAGTAAAATTTTTAACTGTTCATCTATACAATAATAAAATTATTTGAATTATTAATTGAAATAAAATTTTAACATTATTAAAAACTGTTAATTAACTTAATGATTTTTATTAATAAAAGAACATATTTGTTATGAAATTAGAAACGTTAGGAGTCAAAATGTAATTTTTAAAACTACATGAAGTAATTTATAATTCAAGTAAATCTTAGAGGTGTATCTGTAATTTACCCTAAGGCTTGGTTTAGGAAGCGGATTGGCTTTTTGGACTATTTTAGCCTAGAGCTAAAAAACTTAGTTTGGAAAGAACTTTTGAATTTTTGATAATATAATGATTATGAGTTAGACGTGATATTTTGCCTTATTAAACTAAAAATATATATTTTATTTTTTATAACTAAAATAATTAAAAAAGTCACAATCTTGCCCTCCCAAACGAAGGCTAAATATTGCAAAGCTTCAAGCCTACCAAATAACCTCTCCAACTCTGATAGTTATTTCCAATGCCAGCCATACACAATATGAAAATTTTGTCTGTAGTCCTGGATTAGGATGACTTGTTTGGGGGAAGTAAGTTAAAATATTTTTAAGAAAAAAAGGGAAAAATTAATTTAATATTATTTGTGACATTATTATAAATATAACAAAAATGTTTAAGGCCCTCTTTCCTCTCACTCCCTTTGACCCCTTTTTTTTTTGATTGGTTACTTTTTCTTTTGCTTTTTATTTTTTCTCTTCTCCTTCAATCATCATCCGCCATGTGTGTATGGGGGTTGTGGGGGTAGTGATTGGAAGGGATCTCTATCAATGCTCTAAATATAATTAGGATATTTGGCTCGGTAACAACTTTTTAGTTGTAATATAATTTCATTAATAAATTTTAAAAGTACAATAATTGTACTACCAAAAAAAGTTGGATTCCCCAAAAGGGACCATTAATTTGGGACGGAGGGAGTAATAAAAATGTTTAAGGCCCTCTTTCCTCTCACTCCCTTTGACCCTTTTTTTTTTTGATTGGTTACTTTTTCTTTTGCTTTTTATTTTTTCCCTTCTCCTTCAATCATCATCCGCCATGTGTGTATGGGGGTTGTGGGGTAGTGATTGGAAGGGATCTCTATCAATGCTCTAAATATAATTAGGATATTTGGCTCGGTAACAACTTTTTAGTTGTAATATAATTTCATTAATAAATAAGAAAATATAATTCATTAATAAATAAGAAAAATTCTAATATACACCTCTGGTTATGTCATTTTTTCTTTAGTTATATGTATCTTTAATTTTGTTATTTTATTATTTAGTTATAACTAATTTTCTTTTTTAATTATGATATTATTTTAGTTATAACTCATGAGATCTTTGATTATGACTCATATTGGATTTACTTATGATATTTTTTTTTTATAGTTATAGCTTAAATAATATAAAATTATGTCATTTTTTAAATTTAATTATAAGATAGATATGTGTGCATATCATAGTGTTTCCCAACAAACAAACATCCTAGGAAAAAAAAAATTAAAATTATAAGTATTTTGACATTCTCTATATTAACACAATTTTTTATCTTTTTAATTTTTAAAATTATATCACCTCGCTATTTTTATTTTTTTACATTTTTTTAAAAAAAAATTTAAAAAATATAATATCAAATCAACCACTTGGCCTATAATTATAATATGCTTCTTTGATGACACCAACACACCAATACCTGTCCTCCACCTGGATTATCACCTTAGTGACCGGAACACTTCCCGGTTACCGTTCCACCGTTCCACGTCACAAACCATGGTGCTTGCTCATTGCTCAAGCCAGCCCACAAAAACCGACCCGTCCGGTAACCTTCCTCCACATCATCCTACTACTGCTACATACACACCGAATGAGGATCCTCTCCTTGCAGCTCCCATCCTTACGTCCGTCCTTGCAGGCTTTCGGGTCTACTTTTAGGCCCAATTTTGATAATCCGAACCGTTCATATTTTATGATTTATTCAGTATATCATACCTGTAAAAAATCAAGTTGATCGGATATCAGAAAGTATGTGTTCGGAAAACTGTTTATTAAATTCTTTAAAAAATAGTTTTTAGTTCAATTTTTCGAACACATGCTTTCTGATATCCGATCAACTTGATTTTTTACAGGTATGATATACTGAATAAATTATAAAATATGAACGGTTCGGATTATCACAATTGGGCCTAAAAGTAGACCCGAAGGCCTGCAAGGACGGACGCAAGTACGAGGCTGCAAGGAGAGAACCTTGGCTCATAGACACCTTCCCCAAAATAGAAAAAAGAAAAACCTTTTCATTTTCGTTTCTACATACCTCCAGATTGTGGTTGATCTCTATCAATCTAAACTTTCCGGAATTTGAACGCAAGTATTGTCTTTGTTTGGCGGGTTTATCGAAGAGAGCTGAAATCATCATCATCAGAATGTTCTTGGTTGACTGGTTCTATGGTGTTCTAGCATCTCTTGGTTTGTATCAGAAAGAGGCCAAGATATTGTTTCTAGGTCTTGATAATGCCGGAAAGACCACCTTGCTTCACATGTTGAAAGATGAGGTTCTCTCTCTCTCTCTCTCTCTCTCTCTCTGTGTACTAGCTGTGTTTACAATTTTTATAATTGTTTTGGCAATTCGATGAGCGATGAACGTGGGTTGAATTTGAAGACTTTTATTTGGAAATTCGATGAACGAGGGAGATGGGTTTAATTTCAAAACTGTATTAACTGTTGAAAAACTGAAGTGTGACAATTTTCATGACAGTTCTGAGTTTGGATATAAATGGATATGCATGAATAATTCATTACTGATTGAGTGAGTCAAGTTTGTTTGTTTTTTGGTTTTTTTTTTTTTTAAAATTTAAAGATTAACGGAAGAGGACACAAAAATTCAAGGTATTGTTGTAATGTCTTGAGCAACAAGCTGATTTTGTGTTTTTACCTTGAATTCAGCTATGAATTGTTACTGTTATTTTGGTAATTAATATTAGAAAACTAGGAATATGTGTGTGTGTGTGTGTTATTAATATTAGCACTTGTTGTGGTGGGGATGTTTGGCAGAGATTGGTACAGCACCAGCCAACACAGTTTCCGACGTCTGAGGAATTGAGTATCGGGAAAATTAAGTTTAAGGCTTTTGATTTGGGAGGGCATGTGATCGCTCGCAGAGTTTGGAAGGACTACTATGCCCAGGTGAATTATTGTCACATCGGAATTTAAGTGGTTCTACTATGTTTCTTCATGATTTTTTCTGTTAGTTTGTTCAAAACCTTAAGCTAGTACATATAAATATACATATGCACATATGATGGATGCCATTTCTTGAGATATTTTCACTTGATATGCATAATATCAGAACATAATTATGACTTTTACTGTTGGTTCTTGTTTCGATTGTTGCTTGCTGAGTAAAATTTGAGGGACAATTTATAAAGGCCTTCTTGGAAGTGGGAATTGATTTGAATTTAGTGTGTCTTGGTAGGCCTATTGGGTTATCATTTATCAGGAAATGAGTTCCTTAGCACTAGTGTCATAATCATCATTTTGGCTTTTGGGCTTTTGATTGCCTATTAACAATACAAAAATGATTATCCTCCTTATATTTGGATTGGCTAAGTGGGCATTCAATTCTTTCGTGGTTTTCTTGCCTTAGCCTTGTTGTTTCTTTGCATGTACTTTGAAGAATTGTATATTGTTCAAGTTAATTCTGGGAAGTCTATTTGCAATTGTTGCCACTTTGTTGTTTTGAGTTTAGAACCTTTCATGCTGTTACTGCAATGGACAATGGTGAAATTTTATAGTTGAGTTACTGCAATCAACTAGTCTGTTTGACATTTTTACATCATGTACTTTCAGTTGTCATTTTTGTTTTTTACTTTCATACTATTTCTGTCTATTGTGCATATGTAGTTTTGAGTGTTTCAATTATTATATGATGTACTTAACAGTTTTCATTTTATTTTTCACACTCCTACAGTTGTTATCTATGCATTTCTAGTTTTGAGGGTTGAATCTTGGCTAAATGAACTACTGCTCGAATCAATGTTTTTTCATCCTGTCGTTGTTATTGCTGTTAGTTTTTTTCTCTGTCAAGGCACGAAAAGGACAAATCACAGCTCATTTATATGACAAAGAGTCTTGAATTTTGTTCACAAATAGTATATAATTTTTGATCATCATGCAGGTGGATTCTGTAGTTTACCTTGTTGACGCGTACGATAAAGAGAGATTTGCAGAGGCCAAAAAGGAGCTGGATGCCCTCCTCTCAGACGATTCACTTGCAAATGTCCCGTTTCTCATACTTGGGAACAAGATTGACATACCCTATGCTGCCTCAGAGGATGAGTTGAGATATTACTTGGGTTTGACTGGTGTTACTACCGGTAAGGGTAATGTTGACCTCGCTGACTCAAATGTCCGTCCTATTGAGGTCTTCATGTGTAGTATCGTGCGCAAGATGGGATATGGTGATGGCTTTAAGTGGCTTTCCCAATACATTAAGTAGGAGAATCGGAGAATGGAAGAAGCAAGCAGATGTGTGAAGCCATCTAAGGGTAACTTTCATGCCACTGCTGCATGAATGTATATATTGGGAATGTAAAGTTTAGTATGTAGCTTTTACCTTGTTATCTTGCAGACAGTCTTGCTATTTTTTTGGTGGGGAAGGTTAAGTTGATTCTGTTCTCTCTCTGTGTCTGTCTCTCTTCGTACTTGACACGATTGTAAAGAAATAAAGTTGTGCTGTAATGTTTATGATTGATGGGGAAATGTTCCGATCTTTTGCATTCCATGGCAACTGAGAGTGTGAAATGTTGTACTTTTGTCTCAAGTTCCTAATAGCTTTTGCTAATCAAAGCCCCAAAACTAGTAAGGGCACTCGTGCGCCAGCAAGATAAGGCGACGCGAAAGCCTGATTATGGATGTGTAATGTGATTCTTCAATGCAAGATTTCTTTTTGGTTAAAACTTGATTCAAGGAGGTACCCCTGCCATCAAATGGATTTTTTTTTTTTGTAAAAAAAACAATTAATTTTAAATTCTCTCTCTTTTTCTTTTTATTTATTTATCAAAGTATTTAGTACAACATGTGCTTACAATTTATTGAACAAAATAATATAAGCTGAGAAAAACTAATTAATAGAAAGCTAAGATAGTTTTTTAACTTACCAAAAGCTGTACCAAATTTATTTGATGGAATTTAAACTTTGTTATGTAAGGGTTCATATCGTGATGGTTTCAAAATTTCATCATCTAAACCATTAAGCCATTTAATCTATTGTCCAAGGCTTATCAAGAAAATCTCAAAAAATGCTAATTGCTAAAGTTTCAATTTCTCTGAAGTCTAGTAAAATAATATCTCATTTTGATGTTTATTTAGGTATTAAAAAAAAAAAAAATCCAAGACTAGACTGCTACTGCAGAGCAGAAATGAAGTGCACAAGAAGAACCACACTTCTGATCAAGAAGTTCAATCAACAGTGTTTCAGTATTTTCACACAAGGGCTTCTACACCTCACACCAGCCATCTATTCCCATGCCAGAATAAATCATTATATAGCCATGCCAGCATCAAGAAGAAAATGTAGAAGCAAGGAAATGCAAAAATATCTAGCACGTTGCTTGCCCGGTTCCACATTGCCAAAATAAATCCATGTCAGTTGCTATCGGATATGTGAGAAGCCGAGTCACCTGGCTAGGAAAAAGCTTCCCCTCTTAAAGTAGAGACAATAACTAAAAAACAACAAAGAAAAGCAACTAGGGAGAAATTCGCAACCTAATGTTTTCAATGGAAGGCCTAATCATTGGAGTAGAAAGATCTCCGACTAAGTGCCAAAAGGCCATGACAGTTGCTATCAAGAAGGGAGCTCGGAAAAAGCCCTCGTTTGTTGCCTAGAAAAGTGAAGTCCAGCAGAGGTCATGGAAAGGATCTTAATCTTTACTATCCTGGGAAGAAATATATGTGTTTGTTTAGGTGTGTTGTGCTAAACATTCGGGTTAGGTTTTGAAGGGGGGCTTTCCTTGTGACATGACGACAATGTTAGCAAGGGAAATTGAGAACTAAACATCTTAATCCCTTCATATGGTAGTTCAACACTAGAATTACAGAAAATACACCCTATGAAGACCGGATTAGGACATTATGCGGCTTCGTATCCCAGACTGTGGGTACTTCCTCTTTGGTATATACCCACTATTGTAGACAAAGATTGAAGCCTGTCGGGAGGATGAGTTTGCTCTGGACTTCAAGAAAGCGCTGGATGGGAATTTTATCCAACCTTAAACATCCACCGCTGCTCCAATCAAACCTCTCTCTTCACATGGTTCACAAATCCACTTCCTGACCATGTGCAACCACTATCAAAAAGAGTGCTCCCCAAATATCAAGAGGATAAATACTGAAACTTATCCAATAGCAGAACAATACTGCAAAAACCAGAAATACCCAACATGGAAACTGAAACCATTTTTTTGGCAAGAAATTTTATTACCAAAAAAAGAGATAGTACAATGAGATCAAGGCACGCACCTAAGTGCACAAACAAAAACATAACCAACCTACGCAAGACATCAAAAGACAGAAATAACATCGATGCCCAACCTGCGAGGCTGAAGAAAACAGAAACCATGGTGCCCTCATTTCATAAAGGAAAATGCTATGGACCCCAAATAATCTATCAAAATTTTCACTAAACCTCTCACATGAGTGTGGGATCTACACAAACTTATATGTGTGTGGGTCCCACACCTGTGAGAGAGTTTTGGTAGAAAATTTAGTAGATTATTCGGGGTCTCTAACATAACTCTTTCATAAAACGGGCCAAATTTACAAGACTATATTGATCTAGGTATTTACAAGATGTACATTTACAGCCAAGAACACAAACTTGCCCTTCAAAACATTTTCTTTTTCATGGGGGAATACTGTAAACTGCCTAGCACTCTAGATTGAAGTAAATCATGCCTGAAACCTATGAAACTCTAACAATCTCTCATCATCCCATATCAATGTCAGGAGAGACAAGTCCTTCATATTCCAGCTGCACAAAATAAAGTGAATTTGGTTAAGTGATTAACATATTCAATTGTAACTAAGTTCAGAAAATAAAAATAAAAAATAAAAAAATTTGCATACCCTAGCTTGGTTGTGGGCCAACTTCATCATCTGATATTCTTGTTGTGCTTTCTTTGAACGAAACATGGCTTGGACTCGAACAACAGACCTCTCAACACGCTGTTCAGCTTGTTTCCTGCTTGCTCGGAAGAAGTCCTCCTCCACATCACTTTCTTGCATTGGATCGTTCGCAGCTTCAGCAGGGAGAACCTGAAACCCACGAAAGCCTCTTCTCTTCATACGCCAACGTAAAATTGCTTTTTCAAGCACTCCAACTGACCAAGTAATCTTCCGATACTGCTTCCTGACTTGGAAGCCCCTGAAAACTGCCTGCATCAGATAAAGTTGAGTTAATTAGTTTCTACTGAATTGATCAAATCAAGAGAATAGGATTGCAGTTAATAGTCACAAAAAATTAAAAATGAGGACATTACTTTTAGTATTTAGAACTAGTCCTTATAATAACCCTTGATAATGTGCATAAAACATAGGACTTAAAAACCGGACACAGGCTTCACTTACACCTCCATAAAAATGCAATTATTTGATTTGTTCCCATTCAATGCACTTTTCCCTTAAAAAAAAGAACCATTTTCCAAACCCTGCTCTTATTAAATCCAATAGGGACTCATAATGCTCAGATCCGCAACCATTGGCTTTTAAGAAGCCATGTGGCTCAGCCTGACTTAGGAATTTAAGCAAACCAAATGGGGGATTGAGTAAGTTGAAATACATATAGCGCACACAGAGAGTCAGCTGACATAAAATTGACACACGCTAAAAGCAACTCGTGCTTGATTAGGAGTTGTCCATCCACTATATGACTCTGCTTAGGTGTGTTCTGGACAAAATATCAACTGGACTCGCAAGAGTACAGTGGAGAGGGCTTACTTGAATTTTGATAACTTGACATCGCATATTGAGAAACTCTCTTCGGGTCTTCCAAGTGCGGAACCTATGTTGAATTCGGGCAGCAGCTGCCATCGTTTTTCGTGATTCATAGTTGCGGAAGGCATGCTGGATTTTCATTGCTGCAATTATGCTACGTGCTTCATTCTCTGGATTGGAAAACTCAATTGCTTTTGCCCGTAGCTTAAAGGAGTGTTCCCTGAATGCAGCCTGTATGCGGGCTGCGGCATCAGCAGCCGTCCGATAGGCTGCCAGAGTGTCCTTCAGATACAGCTCCTCTTTGCTGAGGTTCCTGAGGTTTACTGAGTCAGGTGTGCTAGTTTGCAACGAGCCACTGACATTTCCAGCTATTGTCATCTCCTTAAAGTGTTCCACTAAACCCTTTTCTGCTAGATAAGCTGCTAAACCATCATAACCTTCTATTGATGCAAGATCAGCTGCAGTGCATCCACCGGGGTTTTCTGAATTTGGGTCTGTGACCAAGTTTGGCTTGGCTCCTGCAGACAGAAGAGCAGCAACCATTTTCTCCCTGAAAATGGAGATTTTCAAAATATAAACAATGACACATCAAAAGCAGTTATCAAAATCCAACAACAAAGGAAATATATCAGCCACAAATAGGAAAACATTGTTAGAAAAACATCTATGATATTGACAACTAAAAAAAAATGGAAAATCAGTACAAATGAAGAAGCACCAAGTACACATGACAGCAAAAAGGAAAGACTAAGTTTCTCCTCAGGAGTCCCAATAATCATATTCAGCAACCTATGTAGTGATGTAATGGATTTTCTAAAATTTGATATGTCAAACAAGAACTCTGTACCTTCCACAATATGCAGCCCAATGAAGAGCCGTCCATCCAAATTTGTCCCGATAATCCAATGATAAGCCAGAACAGGCAAATGGGTAGACAGCCCACGTATAATCTAGGATAGAGCACAAATGGATTACTCCTTGACCTTGCTCATCACGGTCAGAAGTTATACACCCTTCAACTACTCTTTCCAACAGCCATTCATATAGTCTGTTCTTTAAGGCAAGCTCAAACAAGCTGTCCTTGGCTTGTTGAAAAGAGATTTTGTTATTTTCAATTGACTCAATCATATATGCCCAACCATCAGCAATGTGGGAGGTTTTGTGCGCAAACTTTTTGGCTTCTTTGAGGGTATCTGGCGATACTTTACTTGATAGAAAGTTAAGGCTCTTAGAGGTAGAAAATAGCAAGTGAGCAAGCCTCATCTGAACTCTAAACTTTTCCCAATTTGACATTTCTTCTGCAGAGATCATCCAGTTGCCCGTCAAAGGAGCGCGATACTCAAAGGTCAGAACTTGGCTGATGGGATTATGACCGTCAAAACTCAAATAAAGATTTACTGATCCAGGGGTATGTGGTGAAACCAAACAGCGGAACACTCCAGATTGGACAATTTCTGCAGGACCACATGCATCTCCACATACACAATATATATCGGATTTTGCAAGATGTGGATCATTAAAAAATCCAGTGATGAGGATCTACAACAGTAATTATTGCAAGGTCAGCAATTTGTTGAAAACAATACTCAACTGTTAGTAATTAGTAATAGAGACATAGAAAAGAAGTTCATTCCCCAATCAGAAATCATTTTTTAAGACAAGAAATATAACTGACTAATTTTAGAGTGTTCATAAACTAGCCCATGCAGTAAACTGAGGGTCTGTTGAGGAGGGTGGGGGTGGCAGCTGGTTGTGGTTCTAGCTGGTAGTGAAGGTGGTTGACACTGATGATGGTGGTGTGTACTGTGAGATAAGAAGATTGTGGAAGGAGGAGGGTATATTGACCAAATTTATCCGAGAAAATGAGGAAAATATCCTTCTCCATCAGTGTATTCAAATGGAGATGGATGGTGGTCTAAATTGGGACCATTTTATAAGTTTAGGATATAAATTGAAGCAATTAGAAAGATAGGGTTTAAGTTGGTATTCGGGTAGAACCCTGGAGATTTTTTTTTTTTTTTTTTTTTGTATTTCCCCTATAGAAAATGTGCACAAACAACCAGATGACAAATAGTAACAAAGTTGTCACAAAGGAAAGAACCTTTGTCTCTTCAGTTGAAAAAGCCCATCCAGGAGAGACATCAGTAATAGTGAAAATTTGTACTGGAACAGATGATTGAAGATGATCCATCATTGGTGACGTAGATGATTCGTGACTACTCTGAATTGAAAATTCCAGATCATCTACTGATCCTGGAGAATCAGCCATGATGTAGTTAATCCACCTTCCGAAGCTGTCTTGTGTTTGCAAACCATCCTTACCAATAATGTCTAAAGTCTCACCAGTGCCCACTGTTCCCAGTTGATAATCCTTTTTCTGCAAATTTGAATTTGTTTGACTTTCCATCATCTGCAAGCGAAGATTCTCCAATATATTGAAATGAATGGAATTACTCCGGGCAATTGGCTCAGAGAGACTCCTGAAAGAATTTTCTGTAGGTAATTTGTTGGCTGATGGGATAATGTTACCCTGCAAATGTAAAACATTGCTAAATCATGCTGCATTAAAGAAAGAAGCAATGATGAAGTGATTAAGTTCAACAAAAATTCCGTGATGCAAACATTGTAGTGGCTTAGTTTAGTGGAAGGTACCCGATTATGTAGATAGATGTACAAGTCAGGGTATCCAAGTTAAAGTTAATAATATATGTTGACTCGGCAAGACTACTAATACAACAACAGCATCACAATTGGACAAGCAAGCCACCAAAAGTTGATAAATTACTTGTAATAGCAAAACTGTAATGGCAGGAAACTACTTTGAAGAAGAATCAATAATTAAATAAGCGAAGGAATAGTAGATGTTAAAGTTGCATCTCAAATTTAACTTCTAAGCATATCGGCAGCCATAGAGCCTCAGCATTTAAGCCATACAAAGGAAAAATTCAGTCTCACTATGCCAATGTGAATTGTTAACACATAATAATGAGATATCTCTTCTATAGGGTGAATTGATAAATCAGAGATATACCCTACTAAACTACAACTTTATTCTTCTCTTGTTTAATATCTTGTCTCCAGTTCCACTGCCAAACACAGGTACATCGACTTAAACTCACTTGTCCAGTTTCTCCAAACAATCATGACACCATAGCTTCAATCAGGTGCAAAATATTATACCATTCAACAGGTTTTTTTTCTCTCTCAATTTTCTAACCACAAAAAACTTTCAAGACAGGTAACAAAAAAGTTAAGCTTCATTATGCAGAGAAGATCTGAATAACTTTACGTCATTTTCTTACTTCTGTAAGTAAGATTTCAGTAAGTCATATAGCAAATGTCAGTAGAGATAAAAGGTCAAGAGAGAAAGAGAGAAAAAGACACTTACATTAGTTGTCAATCCATTTGTTTCATATTGATTCTGCTGCTCAAAGCATGAAGTTTTTCCTGTCACAAAAATCCAGATATAATAAATATAAAAAACACTTGAAAAAAAATGTATTCCATAAAAAGTACAAGACCACTGGTTCCCTGAGAAATTTCTAGCTCTGCTACAAGAAGCATCAAGTTAACTACCTCCATCAGGTGCACTCAACTTGCTGGGATCATCTAGCACTAAAAGCTCTTCCCATTCCAGTGTATTGATCTCATGAAGTGTCATTTCATGATTTTTGTGGGTCATACTGCCACCAGGCTCTGTTGTGTCACCAAGAGAGAATAATTAGAATGTAAGACAGCAATTTTCAAAGGGAAAAAAACAATTAGAGTGATCTTGACATTAATTACATATGTAAGTTCAGAAATTAGCCATCATCATGATAAAGAATAGTGGTAATTTCAGCAAATAGAAACAAAGAACTTATTTGTTATGAAGACCAGGGTAATTCAGAAGTTCCCCCGAACTTTTGTTACAGTAAACTGAAAGAAAAAAGCCCTTTCACAAGTTCCATTACCATAACCTAATTGTGCTTTCTCAGCAGCATGATACACTGGATCAGCCCCAGAATCACTTTCTTCTGATAAGAGCCAAGAAGCAGATTGGTCAGAGAGTGCTGACCTAGAATTTGAATTCACAGGGGTGGCGGGGGAACCCTGCAACAGAGTGATGACCAACCACAGCCCATTATATAGTTAGCACCAATTGTTAAGTCTTAAAGTGAATGAGAAAACAAAAAACATAAATAATTTGTCCTAGGGACCAGGTTAAGCATATCCATCAATGTTTGTAAATTGCAATTTATCCTGTCTTCTCATTTACACTTTGGTGCCTATGATGGTTATGTCAGAGGTTGACCTCTGAAGTTGATGTGACACAGCTAGGGCTTATATTATTTTGTGAAGAGCTTGGACTTTCTTTTAACAAAACAAGGTTAAAAAACCTTTAAATCTCCACCATTGAACAGTTGCCTCAATATTTGACAACTACTGAATAGATCTACAGCCTTTTGGGCAGCACCACAATAAACCTGTCACCTTGATGTATTTGCTATGCATGTCTCACTAACCATTTAACCAATCACAAATGTGAATCTTATCAACGTTTCTAATGGTGATACAGCAACAAAAAACATTTTAACCTCAAGCGGTCATTCCCCAAGCCCCTCCAAAAAGAAAAGAAAAGAAAAGAAAAGAAAAGATCAAGGATATATATATGTGCAAATTACCATACACAAGAAAAAAAGGCATATAGGAATGCATACAATAATTTTTTTTATTAATATAAGCAAATGAAATTTAAATTAAAGATCCAAAAGGGGTCTAATAAAGCAGCAACTAAGGTATTTGTGTTCATGTATTGCTAGAACCTTTAAAGAACCAATTAGGTTAACTAAAACACCTTAGCATGACAAAAAGCCTCCGAGTGTTAAAGCCCCTTTTTTAACTTCAAAGAACTTATATAGAATAATTGTCAGATAAAAAAAAATTCAGTTCATTTTTGTGATGGGATTCCTACTTTATTAATACTTGTGGCCCCTTCCTTAAGACAAGTTACTAGCATGTTGGGCGTGCCATACACTTTGAGGTGTGTCTTAAAGAATTCAACTGAGGTTGTTTCAGGCGCCTAAAAACTAGTCTCCAGTGAAAATTTTATGATTTAATAGACTTGTATCCCGGAACATTATAAAAATCTTAGGTTTGTAAATGCAGAGAAATAGCTAGGACAAATTGATTTTTTTAATTATGAATACATCTATAACAGATATCAAGAGTTTGGTAAAAACCAATGCCATTCATAAATTAACATGAATTCCTTTAAACATGTTTAACTAGTTTCCCAATCTTACAACAATCCAAAAACATGAAGGAAAAAAAAAAACTTGTAAACATTAACATCTGACGTGTGCATGAAGGAAAGAGAGTTCTAATGAGGTACATAAGAGACCAACCTCTTGTGTTTCACGATAATGAACGAGAACTATGTGTTCCAGCGTCCTGAAACAAAATTCCAACTAAGAGAAGTTAAAACTTAGCATAAGCAACCTTTATTTATAAGTCATGTCAATGAGTAGAAATTACAACTTCTTATCATCGGAGTGGTTAACACAGGAAATAAGTAGGAAAGGGTGATTCATGGAACCGCATAAGCTTTAACCATTGCATACTTATCAAGTAGCCAGTAACATCTGCGGACAAAGGTTGAATTATCTTCACCATGAGCATAGTATACATGGATCTTTTCCTCGTTACCAACCTGTACTTGAAACAAAAAGGCATGCGTTAGTAATTTTATTGATGCAAGGTTAATTCAACGAAAATGGACATTTCGGCCAAATCAGTTTTAAGAATAACATTAATTGTTTGAGTTTTGAATAAAAAGAAATAACATCAAACTTTAGTTTTTTTACATGGTATATTGATGTTTCAGAAACCACAAAATATAACCATAAATAAATTAACAAATCCCTCCATGTTTGTTCAAGCTTAATTTGTTTATTTTGAGCCAATCTCAAATGAGCTTCAATCGAGCCAAGCTCAAGTGGCATGAGTTTTTTTATACATTTCTATGGTGTAGATAAACTCATTGAGCCAAGCTAGAACTGCAAACGAGCCAAGCCAAGTCAAGTTTTGCAGTGCTCGAGCTCAACTTGTTTGTTTATCGAGCTCGAATGTCCAACACAAGCTCGACTCGAAAATTAATCAAACTCGAGCTTAGCTCGTCTCGTTAATATTGATGAAACTCGAACTTGGCTCAAAGCTCGATAATGTAAAAATAATAGGATAATTTTATTTATATGTTATTTATCCTATTATTTACAAAATACTGAACAAGACTAAAAATTTGGCTCAAGCTTGTTTATTTATTTAGCAAACCGAGTTGAACCGAGCCCTAATTGAGCTGAGCCGAGCCGAACTAGCAAACAACTCGGTTCATTTGCAGCCCTAATCCAAGCTCAAAAATTAATGAGCTTCAAAATGTGTTCAAGCTTGTCTTATTTACGTAATGAGCCAATCTGGAACAAGTTTACACCTAGTTGAGCTCAAGTAGTTTGGTTTGTTTTATAGACCCACCCACAACTCATGGAATTCAAGCCTTACTTGCCGAAAATTGCAAAAATCAGTCCCTAAAATCTGATTTTGCATATTTTCAGCCTGATCTGTGTTTCATTCTGGTCTGCCCTGTTAAAACCTACCACTACCACCTACTCCACCTACTACACACCTATACCACTACCACCTACTACCACCTACTCCACCTACTACACACCTACCTACTCTACTCTTCTATATATAGGCATCATTGTAAACATATTCTACATCAATCAATAATACAATCAATATCTATACAATTATCTATTTCTCTTTATACATTGAATTTTACATGGTATCAGAGCTATAAGATTTAGGCCTGTATTTCCTTCTCCCGCCGGCCGGCAACTTTGCCTTCGCTGCCCGCTGGAGTTGTCTACACATACCTTTACTCCTGAACAAAGATCAACACATTCTTTGCAATCTTTACTTCAGTTTGTTTTCACATCCGAATCAGGGTGGCCATCATGGTCCTTGAAGCCCAAACTAAGATCCAGAGTGCTTTCGTTCAGATCTTGCCTTGCTAATGGAGTGTCACCTGGGGCCTGACTTTCATCCATGGGCAAATCATTGATATCTCCTCCTCTGCCACCGGCACCAGCACCGCAGAAACCATATCTGCCATCGCGCCGTCGTCGTGAAGAATGCCGCTTGTGAAGAACATCGGCGTCGAGCTGTCGTCGTGAAAGACATCAGTGTTGGCAATGAAAGCCTAACGGGCGCCTCTCTCCCTCCCTTTCTCTAACAATGGCGAGAATGGTGTTGCTCCCGGCGCTCGTTAGTGCCGCTCGGCATGCGGCGAATCCGCTCGTCCTGGAGGGTAAGGTTTACTGCGACACGTGCCGTGCTGGCTACGAGACCGCCCTCACCACCCCCATTTCAGGTGCCAAGGTTAAAGTCGAATGCAAAGACAGAAACAAAGAGACACTCCTATACAGCATTGACGGAGAAACCAACGAGGCGGGAAAATACACAATCATGGTGAAAGAAGACCACAAGGACCAGCTTTGTGATGCAATGCTTGTTAGCAGCCCACAGAGTGACTGTCAATCTGCAGACCCAGGGCGGGACCGTGCACGTGTGATCCTTACCCGAAACAACGGAATGACTTCAGACACCCGTTTTGCCAATGCAATGGGCTTTATGAAGGATGAGCCCTTGTCTGGTTACAAGCAACTGCTCCAGCAATATGAGCTGGAGTCCCAAGATTAGGTGCCTCTCTCTTTCTCTCTCTCAGATCGTGAAGCCCTAGCCTATTCATCCGTAACCGCAATAGAATCCGCCGCCTCCACCGCCGGATATTTTCTCCCCGCCTTCTCTCTCCATCAAAACCACCGTGAGATCCAAATCCGTTGCTTCCAGATCCATCTCTCAAGTTTCGAAGATCTGAATCATCATCGCCAAGCCATTCGATGTACAAATCATCATTCATCGGACCATTATCGCTTCGAGCCGAGCTTGCGATGGAACTTTCAGATTCAAGATAAGAGCGAGGGAGGAGATCCAGCTGGTTTAGAGAGAGAGAGGACACACACTCAACACACCCACCATACCCATACACCCAAACGGTTTTAGAGAGGGAGACCCAGCACACCCAACGACACACCATCTTTTTCTCCATTCCATGGAAGACATACAGAGGGGCTGAAATCAACATGGACACCGAACACACCATGGAGACACACACGGCATTAGAGCCACACTCAGACTTCCTTCGAGCTCTCTCTCTCTCTGGTCCCTTTCTCTCCACTAGACCCACTTTAATCATATCCATGATTCCCCTTACTTTAAAAACCAAACCTCTCTCTACACAGACAAAAGTAGAACCCATCTCATGATTCCCACTCTTTATTTTGTCAAGCTCCACACCCCACACAATGTGATGTTGCCAGAACCCATCATTCATCCCACTAGAGTATATAGAATATATATATATTTTTTATATATATATGTAAAACTTCTTCACTAAAACTTATTGATGTTGGTTATTTTTTATTTATTTATTTATTTATTTTTTCTATTTTTTATTTTATTTTATTTTATTTTTATTATTCAACAAAACAACAACACCAAAATAACACCACAAACATTCCACACACTTGTCATTTCTTCATGCCGGGGATCAACCCCGATCACAATTTTACACCAAAAAAGCAAAAACCAAAACAAAAACAACAAACCAACCCAAACCACAACCACCACATCCACAGGCGGGATTTTTCTTCTCTACTCTGCCGCCGGTCTCTTCTTCTTGCTTATGTCCTGGGCGGCCCTTGACGGTGATGCCTCTGTGTTTCCCGCGCCGCCGAGCACGTTCACTCCCTCCTGCTCCTCCACTGCAGCATATGGCGGACCTCCAAATCGGAACATAACGGTAGCCTTCCGCTTCAGCTCCTTATTTTCCGCCTTCAGCTCACTTATCTCTGCTCGCGCATCCTTATACATGCGTTGGAGCAGAGCCAGTTGGGCGTTTAACTGCTGCACCTCATTTGTCCTACTCTGAAGCCGGTGCGACAAGTTTGTGACTGCCGTCATCGTCTCCACACATGACTTCAATGTATACTGATTGGCCTCAATATCTGATTGTGCTGCCATTCTTTGCTCCACAGACCGCATAGGAAAGGTCAACGGAGCAAACTCAGGGCGCTTGGTTGAGGTTCAAGGGCAACCGCACCAGTTCTCTCTCTTGTGGACTCGTTGAGGTCTGGAAAGAGAGTGAGTAGACCACGGGAAGAAGAGGCCATGTTTTGGGTTGATGAGTGTTTCAGAGAAGCAGCGATTTCCGACTGGTAATGTCAGAACGGGTTGGTTACAGCATGTTTCAGAATGACCATGCTCAGAGGTTTCAGCCTGGTTTGGTTTACACAGCCTCCGCATTGGTTTATATCGACAATGACGACGCGGCCGACACGCCGCTCTGTCGCTCACGTGCATCGCCGCGTGTCTGGCGCGCCTTTTGATGGCTCGCCGCTCGATGCTTTTTGTCGGGCACGGCTTTTGATGCAGTGGGCGCGACTTTTGAGGGCTCGATATATATATCTATATGTATATCTTTTGGGCAGCCTATATACACAATCATACAGTATCTTTTACAACGGTTCGGCATGACCCCATAAACTGTCCCGACATTGATTCCGGTTAGCTTTTCCAACGGTCCGACATGACCCCATAAACTGTTCCGACATTGATTCCGGTTTGATTCTACACCGGTCTGACACCACCATACAGTGTCTTCACCAACGGTCTGACACGACCATACAGTGTCTCCTATCCTCTTTTATTTTATGTATTTTCTTATTTTGTTACTCTTTCCAAACTCAAGTTGATTTGTGTCTCTCCTCCTTGAGTTTGCGGGGGCTGTTAAAACCACCTACTACCACCTACTCCACCTACTACACACCTATACCACTACCACCTACTACCACCTACTCCACCTACTACACACCTACCTACTCTACTCTTCTATATATAGGCATCATTGTAAACATATTCTACATCAATCAATAATATAATCAATATCTATACAATTCTCTATTTCTCTTTATACATTGAATTTTACACGCCTTTTATTGTAGCCATTGAAACTTCCAATCGACTACTTCATTTGTCCCCTTAAATTTTCATGATGTAATTATAACAAACCTATTCCAACTACAAAAAGTATTATGAGTCAATAAATCTTTTAACATGGGTGGCTTTACCAATAGATTCTTTTTATTCATTGGCAAAAAGAATGAAAAATTTATGTCAGATTATAAGAATTTAATGTAAAATGTCATATGTCTACTACAGAGCAACAAGAACAAATATTAATCAAACTGCAAAGTTAATAGGACCAATAATAGAGCAGTCATAGCACACAACTGAATTCAACTTAAGGCAGCACACATCCTCTTTTGCCCCTTTAGTCTATCTAAGATTATATTGTGAGTTACCTCCACCATAGCCACAACGCATCTGTTTCAGTATAAAATAAAAATTAACAAAATTTTGGCAATCTACGACCATGAAAAGTATTAACTGCCAACATATATATATGGATGCATGTTGGAGGAACACCAGCAGCTTCTTTTGCTACCATTAGTCACATAAATAAAGCATAAACACACCAAATACATAAATTTAACAATTGAAAAATCTCACTTTTAAGTGTTCATGAGCTTCTTTGACGGTCTTGCCATCCTTTTTTTTCTTCCAGTTATAACCATCTTTCCGAAAGTTCCTGAGCATTTTACGGTCAAACAACACGATTGTGCCACCTATTAATTTGCAACAAAACCAAGATTAGATAGAACCACATTCTACTATCAAGCAATATCGAGAGGTATGGAAGTTTTTTAATAAATAAACTTCCTCAAAAGCTGCAAACTTCACTGTAAACCAAGTACAAAATGCAATACATACAAAATTTGTTCAACAATGGGTATCACCTTGACATGTATAAACAAAAGAAGAGTTGTATATAATAGGATTCAAATTAAGAATGGCTATTTTACATCTGAGTTCTTGAGCCATAATGTACATGCAGTCACTCAACTCAAAAGCAACCTACTTGATTAAAAAAAAAACACCCATGTGACTCATTAAAGAGAGTTAAAATATAATTTCTTTCAAGATAGTTATTAAAATCAAATTGACCATGTAAAGAAATAATGTGCAACCAACCACAAACATTTTTCTCACCTTCCCAATTCTGCTTCTTAGCGAGACCAGTCTTAATCAATTTAGTAATTAAATACATCATATATTACATGATAATTGATCAGTATAAGAGACAACAGATCATCCTTTTTAACATTTACAACTTTGCAATTGCTATATGCATCAAAACACATGCAATAATATTCCATACCATTGAAGTTTTCTACACATTTTTTCCACTTCCACTTCACTCTATGAACACAACAGTCCCTATTTCAAATTAGTTTCTCATCAATCCCAATCTACAGTACCTAAAAAGCATGCTAACACAGAAGGTGCAGCCCTCTTATTATAGTGGTGATCTCAACTCTCAAGATATTTATTGAAGTTTCTACACTGAAAGGTGTCTTATGGCCACCTTTCCGTAAGACGGTTAACATCTCTTAATTAAGAGGCTCAAACAAGCATAAAAACTAAATAAAGCCATAAACTACAGGGTTGAGTTATTTACTTATGGCTAAAAATCTGCCACAGAGCTCCCTGTGGTGTGAGTATAGTCATTATTTTCAGATATACATACTGAGAAGACTAAGGGTACAAGGAGCTGAATTTTCTTGAACATAGGCAACATGGATACATATGATGCCAAGTTATGTTCATACACACTAAAACAATATAGCAAAAGAAAATTCTGAAGGGTGGGGGAGGAGCTTGTGTTAACAATAACTATATTCCGTTCATGCTACAATCAACAGTAGTTACTTTTTGGCAAGTTCACTGGCTTAACGTTGACGCTGAAATATTTAGGGTTACACAGTATTGCATGAATCTCATTTGGCCTCAACCATCTTGTCTTGGCGTCCTCCATGATGCTGCCAACATCCAAATCTGTCCATTCAATAAGGAACCACAGTGAGCTATAAGCATGACATATGAAGAAATATAAAAGAGAACTAGGAAGTCATAGAAATAGTGGGTCAAAACCTAGAAACATCACCAAATAACAATTTAAATTAATCGAGAATAAAACTATCAACCTACAATTATAACACAAAGCAATATGAACAACATGGAGGAAAGGATAGAGAGGTGGGGAGTCTTGATCCAGTACTTAGGGCAGCTACACAAAATCAATTTTAACATTATGCTATATGATATGGTAGGATTTTCAGTTAAATCATAAGCTATCATGACTTTCTTGCTACAAACCTTTCATGGTCACCCCAACTTCAACTACATCACTCCTAAATGTCACAATCATTGGTTTTTGTTATGCATACAGCATCCCTAAAAGAAAAGAGAATATGGGCGTCTAAAGCTATATGAATCCAATTTTACTATTCTACTTTATTACATGATAGAATTTTCACTTACATCATAGGATTATCATGGCTTTCCTTATTACATCAACTCAACTTTTCATGGTCATCCCAACTTCAACTACAACACTCCTAGATATTAGAAACATTGGTTTTCTTTCTTTTTCTTTTTAAATTTTTTTTCATACATGCCTAACACCATGATTCTCTAATCTCAACTGTCACCTAAATGACTCTTTCATCTAATTTTTTAATCAAATACTTCACATGCAATAGTTGCTAATTATAGTTTTTCCCGCCTACACAGCGTCCCAACCCAACATCCTTAATTAACTCAACAGAGCTGCCCTCTGACTTAGACCTGTGTTTGATATTTACAAACTAAGCCTTTACGATGCAGCAAGCAATACACGAGTATACTTTGTACAGACCAGTGTTCCACTCCCATTTGGAGGGCTTTTCTCGTCTCATAAAACATTTACTTGTCCAGCAAAAAAGAAAAAAAAAATGTAGCAAAACAAAAGCCTGTCTCTTAGGCACATCAAAATGTAAGTTGGACACACCGACAGCTGCATTCCACTATTCAGTGTCAAAGAGCACAAGTACAAGTAATAGCTGCCTAAAGGGTATTACAATCTAGTAGTAACCATTAAGCACAACATAGTGATTCTTTTCCAACATCAATCATATAGTTTAAATTAAATTGTTATTCCATTCACTCCATTAAGTAATTCCATTCTTTTTCTAATAGATTTCAGTTCTCAAACAAACCACAAAGTCAATTTACACTCAGTTACCATTAGCTCAAAAGAAGATCAAAAGCACTACAACAACTTAACCAACAATATATCCTAAAGCAATAACTCAGCAAGTGCAATTTTTCATCCAATCACTATTCACTACAAAAAGCCAGGAAAAAACCATATACTCCCCAAACAAAATAAATTCAAAACTCGAAAAGAAGAAAGCATGAGTTTCAATAGATACGGCAAGAAAACAAGAAGCATGAGTTTCAACCATATAATCAATCCTCAGCAATTGCAAAATTTCATCCAATCACTATTCACTACAAGAATGCAGAAACAATCATATACTCTATCCCCAAACAAAACAAAACAAAACAAAACAAAACAAAATTCAAAACAAGAAAACAAGAAAGCATTATTTTCAATGGTTACAGCAACAAAACAAGAAAATAAGAAAGCACGAGTTTTGACCATATACGAGTATCCTCAGCAAATGAAAATTTTCATCCAATCACTATTCACTACAAAATGCAGAAAACAATCATATACTCTATCCCGAAACCACAAAAAACAAAAAACAAAAAAACAAGAAAGCATGAGCTTCAATAGTTACGGCAACGAAACAAGAAAATAAGAAAGCATGTGTTTCAACTATACACTCGATCCTCAGCAAATGCAATTTTTTCATCCAATCACTATTCACTACAACAATGCAGAAAACAATCATATACTCTATCCCCAAACAAAAAAAGAAAATAAAATAAAAAAAAGAAAAATTCAAAACAAGAAAGCATGAGTTTCAAACATATATTCAAATCATCAGGAATTGTAATTTGTCATCCAATTAATATTTATTCACTTCTACAATGCAGAAAACAACCATATACTCAATCCCCAAACAAAAACAAAAACAAAAACAAAAAAACACATTTCAAAACAAGAAAGCATAAGTATCAACCATATACTCAAATCAATCCTCAGCAATTGCAATTCCCCAAACTAAACAAAACAAGAAAACAAGAAAGCACGAACTTCAATCATATACTCAATCCTCAACAATCGCAATTTTTCATCAAATCACTATTTCATTACAACAACGCAGAAACATATGGTCAACCCCCAAACAAACAAACAAACAACAAAGCATGAGTTTAAACCATATCCTCATATCTACGAACTGAATAAAAGCATGAAAACACAAAATTTCAATAGAGATACATCAACAAAAACAAGAAAGTAGAAACAGCAAAAAAAAAAAAAAAAAAAAAAAAAAAAAAAAAAAAAAAAAAAAAAAGAACACTGAGAAACTTGCCTTCCATGGTTGGGAAACCATGAGTCTCCCACCCCACAAGTCGTCCTGATACTGTATTTTCCATTGCGAAAACCTCAAAACAGTTGACTGGTCATTCAATCAACCACAAATCACAAACCAATCAACGCAAATGAATCGATCGAACACCGCAATTGACAGAGAAGAACTCAATCGAATCTAATACTAGATGCGTAGAGAGAGAGAGAGAGAGAGAGTGTGTGTGTGTTTGCTGTGTCACTTCAATTTGCATCAAGAAAACAAGATAAATGTGAAAACAAAAATTGCAAAAGGAAACGCTTTATATATGTAGTACATGTAATGGAAGATTAAACGACGAATTAACAGGTCATGACTCATGAATCACGACCTGGGTGGGTTTAGTACCAAATTTTTCCAATTTTTGTTTGATGGCTTTGGGAAATGATTTTGTGTATATGAGTCACGAAAGTCAAAAAAACATACTACTCCTACAGGCATTTGATGTTTGATCATATGGGCATTCGAAGCGGGTTTAGGAGTTTGATACAGATCACCCACTGTTTTCTGATTGGCTCATAACTTTTTATTTTTTTATTTTTTTTATTTACCGCTTGCAGCCCCCCCCCACGTGGATGCGGGGTACTGGTTCCCAGCAGGGTTGATGTCAAATAATACTTTAATTCTATCATGTTTGAGGATACAATAATCAATTCACATTATGTGGGTGTTTAGGAAGTGAATTTTTTTATAGATTTTTTTAGTTATAGGATTTTATTAGAGAATTTTTTTTTTGTGTTTAGAATGATAGTTAGATTTTTTTATGGTTGGATATGATATTTGTGAGAGAAAAAATAAAATAATTATGGAATTTGATGTGATTTTTTGTTTGGATTTATTTTTTTTAATTTTGTAAAATATTTGTCTTATAGTGAAAAAAAATAAAAAAAAAACCTAAAAACTAAGTTACCAAACACCGCCAATTCTCAAAAAATCTGATCTTATTACTATATACAATCACTTTAACATGTTGGGGAATCTGGTTGAGTTAAAATAACTTTTTAAAATATTAAATAGCTTAAAATAGTCAATAAAATAAAATATCATATCTAATTCATAATCATTTTATTTTTTCTCTCGTAATCATCAAATCAACTATTATAAAAGTAAAAAAGAAGTCAACTACCTTCTCAAACACAACTTTTTTATTTCATCCATAATCATTTTATTTTTTCTCTTGTAATCATTAAATCAACTACTATAAAAGCAAAAAAGAAGTTAACTACCTTCCCAAACACAACTTTTTTATCTAGGTTAAAATAACCAACTAAATAGGTTTCGTTTGGCTATTCCAATTGGGACTAAAAAAAACACAAAATACAAAATAAGTTAGTAACACGAAACATCATATCTAAATCATAATTATTTCATTTTTTTCTCACAAAAATTAGAAAAAAAAAACTAAAAAAAAATTGTCAAACGAACTTTTTAGTCCCAACTTCCTAAGCTAAAAAAACCTCAACTCTAAAAAGCCAACCAAAAGAATTTTTGCCAAACGACAATATAAAGTTTAGAACAGTACAAACACAACTAGTAAGTAACGCGCTCCCACATGTTCGCCTAGTGTTTTCATAACGCAACTCTCTGCTGCCAAACAGAGCTAGGTTAGGAGCGTGCTCTTTCTTCAACTTTACAAAGACGCGTCTCAACCTCGTGTGACAATTTAATTTTTAAATTTAAAAATTAAAAAATTATTAAAAAAATCAATACTATATGTTAAAAAGTTGCAAATTTATTTTTTTTATTTTGGTAAAATATTAAAAAATATCTCATAATAATAAATTTTTTATCTTATATTTTAGTTAAAAAATTAAAAATTATTAAAATAATATCTTTCCAAATGAAACCTTACTTCTCTATTATAAAAAAAAAATAATGATAGAGAGTTCTAATTTTAAAACTTTAAAGAAATGTGACAACAAATATAAAAAAAAATAAACATAGACACACACATCACATCATATGCGAGCCTTACTCTTTATCATATCATTAGAATTCTCTTTAAAGATTTAAAATTAGACCTTTCAATTTTTATTCTATAAAAAATGAATAATATTAAGAGTCATGAAAAAAATATCATGAAACGTATCATAAAGATTTTTCATCGCTTGATTAGTGTGTGGTATTTTATTCTAAGTATAATTCAAAAGTGAAAAATCTTTCATAATCATTTTCATAATATTTTTTTTATGATTCTTAACATTATTCATAAAAAATAAAAATAAAAATAAAAATAAAAAAGAGTGCCGTTGCTTCTCTCTCTCAAAAGTAATGGAGTGCCGTTGCTTTTCTCTCTCTCTCTCGTTCTCTCTCAAAAGTGGTGAAGTTTTCAATTTTGAAATACCGCTAGCTAGGGGTGAGCAGCGGATATATCGATCCGTCAAAATCGATCGAACCGAACCTATCCGCCGCATTTTGGACGGATGCGTGATGACGACACTACAAAAAAATACACTTTTGGTGACTAAAAACTTAGTCGCCAAAGGTATTAAATTTCGTCGCCAAAAGACATTCCCGACTAAATAATTTGGTCGCTGGATTAGTCGGGGATACATAGTCGCCTAAGGAATTAGCGACTAAACTACATTTAGTCGCCATAAGTAGTATACAATACCGACTAACCTGTTAGTAGGCAAAAAGAATAGATATTAGCGACTAAAAGATCCGTAGTCGCTGATAAGGGATATTAGCGACCAAAATGGTAGTCGCCGAATCGGTTGATTAATTCCTTTAACTCACATATTTAGCTACTAAACTTTTTTGTCGCAAAAAGGAAAAATGTCTTCGGCGACGAAATGTTTAGTCGCCAATACTGTAACTTTCACCTACTACAT